ATATCATTGTTAAAATTAGTGATTTGTCATCTTAAGATGAGAAGAGTGTTCTTTCAACCTTTACTTTTCTTTAATTTTGCTTCACATGTGCAGGGGCTTAAAATTACATTCCTTTATTTATTCAACAAATATCAAATTTATTATAAAATTTATATATTTTAAAACAAATAAATAATTAAATTACATGAGTTTAAAAAATAAATCAATAACTATAAAAAAATCAAATTAAAAACATGTTTTGAAACTAAGTCAAAAACGGATCAGGTCGAATTTGATCCACTTCAGAAACCAAGTCAGACCCACTTCAGAAATCAGTCAGATCCGACCCGGTTTTGAACTAGTTCAAAAAAATTCAAACCAAATCAGACCTGACTTGGATCAAATTAAAACAGATTGGATCAAATACCTGACCTATAAAAATCAAGTTGGATCGAGTCGACATAAAAATCTGACCCGAACTAATCCATGTACACCGCTAGTTCTGGTTACGTAGAAAGTTCACAATATTTTGTTGGAAATAGCAGTATTTGGTAATACTAATTAATTAAACCAGACCACTTGATGGTGATGGCCAAGTAGTACAAAATTCCGGGAATAGATCTATGATCAATTGGAGCATCCTTCTAGCTACAGGACCATCGACCTACTCTTGTTTGCTGTTTGTGGCCTTCCAATGGCCATAAGACAAATATTCTCTTTTTCTTGGTAGGATTCTGACCTTTTTTTTTTTTTTTTTTTTTGTATTGTAATGTTCCTGTTTAGTAGGCATTAGTATTCAACGTTGGGTCACTGTTAAGTGTCAATAAAAAATTGCTTATTATTTTGATCCAGATAAAATATAAGTTCGTTAGAGGCTCAATAACATACAAGAAAGCCAAATCCTATTAAGGATCTAGAGTAAAGCGCGATGGTCAACATCGCGCACAAGACGCGATGTCTGCATTGCGCAGAGCAAGACGCGATGCCCCTATCGCGCATGAAATCGCCCTTTGATATAAGATCCAGAAATAAGGAAGCTAACTTAAGAACCAAGACAGGCTCACCGCGCCTTTGAACTAATAAACAGAGGACAACACCAGCTCGTCGTGATTCTATCAAGATAACCTGGTAAGGCTACTTAGGTCCTAGTCTGACCTACAGCCCAGACATGGCCAATCAGAAGCCATACCGCCTTATGAAGGCGACATCATAACTGCTATATAAGCAGAGGGTACACACCCAGTTACATCTATCTATTTCATTATCATATACATACACCTGCCTCTGATACTGACTTATGCATCAGAATGTCTTCGCAAGTACCCCTCATTCGGATTCATCGCGGTAGCAAAAGAGAAAGGCATATTGATCCTATACACCAACTCCAAGCCCAAGGCAAAGAACACCATCCTCGTCTCAACCGTGTGTGATTTGGCCCAATACACATTGACCAGCCCATACTGTATTTGGTCTGATCATTATGCATTATCTGTAATTTTTAAAGTACAGAATTCATTCCTCCATTTTCCAAAGTATACCTTTTTTTTATTTTGACTAAATATTTAAATTAGTCTTATAAAAACATAGAAGACATAACGTTAGTTCTTCAAGATTTCGAATGCAAATTTAATCTTTAAATATTTAAAATAGATGCTAATTCAATTTTTTTAATATTCTTTTAGTCATTTATTTAGTCACAAAATTTATGCTTAAGGATTAAATTAATGTTCCTTTTATATATTATCTCATTAAGTCTCGACATTCTTGGCTGGTCAATATTTCAATTAAGGAAGCACTATGTGTTGGGATAGCTATCAAACAAACCATGCATTTGTAACCAGAGTTTATTTTTTTACTTTTAAAACATGTTAAACTAATCATGTACATTTGCTCGGGGTATCAAATGCCACCAATTGTGCATAGCTTGAGAGAAAGATAGTGAGCCCCATTTGATACCAGATGCAAATGCTAAAATGCAAAAAAGTGAGCCCCAATTGATACCAAAAACAAAATGCTCATTAAGGATTGGATTTGGATCTTATACTTTTTTAAAAGAGAAAGGCACAAAATAATTTCTATGGATTAGCCCATCATTTCTTTCTTTATTTTTTAAAACATGCTTATCGCGTTTTTTAAGAAAAGGATTGTGCAAATCTGTCTTTTTTATTGGGATAAGAAGAAATTGCTAATCCTCTTTGTGCATGTTTCGAAAGCAGGTTTATTGAGGACTCTTGAATATTCATGAAATTGATTATAAAATGGGTTTGAGTTCATTAACATTTTCTTACCGTACATCCAGGAACTTGATGTGTAACTTTTTTTTTCTTCTTCTTATTTTCCTTTTCAGAAAATTCAAGGCTCAACTGCACTATATGTGTTAGAAAGATATATAAAAACCATAAATGAGGGGTTAAAATTATGATTTATCATGATATCGGTGCTTCTGTGATCACGAGTTCGATGCTCACCACTTTTATTTTATTAAAAAAAAAATTATAAAATTTCTAAACACAAATATGAGGTGAGTGAGATGGTTGCTTATTTAGTGGAATAGCTAGGAGAAGCTAAACCACAACTTTTGACCAGTACAGTTTCCTAGAGAGTTGGAGAGAAATATTACTGCTTATATGCGCTGGTGTACCTACATGGTTTGTAACGTGTGCAAGTCCAGACACAAAGAAAAATTTCATTTGAAATAGCAAAGCTTGATATATATAAATAGTTGGTGAGCCATCTTTACTATTATAGGATTTGTTATGTGAATAGTTTGAAATAGCATTTAATTTTTTTTAATAGTTTGAAATAACATTTACAAAAAATAAGATATGCATGAAATTACAAAGCTTGATATATGTGAATAATTTTATTTTCTCTTCTTGTTTATATTCTTTTATTTTTAAATGTAGTTAAAAATTTCTTTGAAAGAAATTTTTTGGCAACGCTGCCCCGGAACTTACTGCCACTAGACGTGCAAATATAAATAAGATTTTCTGATTCGCCAGTACTTATAAGAGGGATGGACGAGGGATTTGTTGCATTGTCAACATCCTTTGAACCTTTGAGTGTATTTTCACTTGCATCATGATTCATGGGGTAACCTTAGTGAACTAAACCACACTCGAGTCTCACACAATAATCCTTAACCACAGTAATCCTAAACCACTCCTTAATTAGTCCACGTGATGCGAGTGCCAACAACCTTCTATACCTGGACAATATGCCTCCCACTAGAGGTGGGGTTTCTCTGCAGGTTATAGGTGCCATAACCCCACTTCCATGTGTGCATTAATAATTAATATAGTACAAGTAGAACAACCATAATTTGCATCATCGTAGTTGTATATAACATCCTTTTCTAGCTAGTTTCCTTGCTAAATATCAAATAGTATACAAAGCTTTCTTTAAGGTCTAAGGGCATCAAATCCAAATTATGCTCATTATTTTGTGCAATAACTTTTTTTTTTTTTTTTTGAGTTAACTCAACCTTAATTACCTCTTTGAGGCGAGTTGGCTCTTCTGATATTTTCATAAGTTTTGACTCTTTGAGCCGGCTATAAGACTAATTTGAAGTGCGAGACAGACCCTTTTCTTTCCATTTACTCAGCTTCCTTGCTACCAACTGAGCTGCCACTATTTAATTGTGCAATATTTTTCTTTCAAGGGAGAGAGAGAGAAAAAAAAATGGGGTGCTTGTAATCAATGCTATTTAAATTGGGAGGTTTTTAGCCTTGTGCTAATCATACTTACGAGAATTTACCATACTAGAGCATAAGTCCAATTTGGGTAGCAGATTTTCTGGCTTTTTTTTGGCACAACCTTTGTACCCCAGCAAGTTGGTTTAGCACTCCCATCCATATCTCTTGGGAAATATTCTTGTAAGATACTCATACGGGACCAGTACTCAGAATAGGAGTCTTTCGCATGCTAAATTAATGAACGAGAGATCTCAAGGAATTCAACCTTTGTATTTTATACTAACTTTTATTGCTTGGAATTTTTCTCCATTCAAAAGCAATAAGTTTTATGTGCTATATTCCTTTCCATCAAATATTTCTAACAATGAATGAATGGAGAATATAAAGAAAAATCCTGATAACACATTTTATCTTAACCTCATAATTCTAAAAATATTTATCAACATTACCTCACAATATAGAATCTATAAGCAAGAGGTTGTCATCAAGTAATCACATGTGGGACACAAGCTTAATTCGGTGGATTTAAATCAGGAGAAAAACTATAAAGAGTGAAAGAGAAGGGATATGAATTAACACATGAGGGGATTGTGATAACTGATAACCAGCAGCTTTTATGAATGGGATTTTTTGTTAGTGGGTTTTGGACAAATGTTTAGTGTATTACAACCCCTCCCCCAAAAAAAGCCTTACTGCTCCACGTGTCATGCATACATAGAATCCCTACCTGTTCTACTGTGGCTGTCTAGTCTGTCTTTGGATTTGAAATGTAATCACTAACCATTATCTTTAATCCTGAATCTGTTATTCCAAAGCAAGGGCTATATTTTTATCATTTAATTTCTACCTCCATATGTATTCATGAAGCTACCACCACAACAACTAAACCCAACCCCATGGCCACCATTAGCACCACCATATATATGGTAAGAAACACCATTTGTTTGTTCTTTTGTACCCTCTATTTGACATGCAAAATTGTCTGCAACTGCATTTCAGAAAGTTTCCTGTTTGCCACTTTCAGTGCTCCATCACCCCCCCACTTTTCTACCATTTTGTCAAGCTTTATTTGTTGAGACAAGATAGAGGATTTTCCCTCCACGTTTTTACCACTCATTTATATCTTTTTTATTTTTGCATTAGCTGCATAAGCTCCCTGCTTATATTATCCCATTACACAAGGTGGAAAAGGCAGGGAAAAAATGTGGTCTAAAACCGGTGCATACAAGTCAAGAGCCTGATTATAAATAGGGCCAATTCCATAGGATTCAACCCCATGAAAACTTAACTACCTCTACTGTAGCCTTGAGAATTCAAACTCATAACATGTCACTTTCTTGTGCCAAAAACATCTTCCAGAGGTTCGGGGTAGATGAATTCCACATGGGAAGTTTTGTCCATAGCAGCTTTTTATCCAATGATCCTCTGCCATCTCTTGGAGCCCGAATGAACCAGGAAACTAAACTACAAAGATACATAATCTCCCCTTTCAATCCTCGATATAGGTGATGACCCTTAACACAGTCACAGTAAGATAACTCTTGTGTGAATATTGTGCCTGCATCTTCTCATATATTTCATTACAGGGCCTGGGAGATGTTACTGGTTGTTCTAGTCATATACTCAGCTTGGATTTGCCCTTTTGAATTTGCCTTTATGCCTTACAAGAAAGACGCACTATTCATTATAGACAACATTGTTGATGGCTTCTTTGCCATTGACATCGTGCTGACATTCTTTGTGGCATACCTAGATAGCCATTCTTATCTCCTTGTTGATGATCCTAAGAGAATTGCAATCAGGTAAATATATACATACATATAAACTCTTCTTCCTTCAAATCTAACATGAATCTTCAAAAACTCTGCTTACTACATATTGCTACACCAAACTTGCAGGTACATATCTACCTGGTTTGCTTTTGATGTATGCTCAACAGCACCATTTCAGCCCATTAGTCTCCTTCTCACTAATCATAGCAGTGAGCTTGGCTTCAAAGTTCTTAACATGTTTAGATTATGGCGTTTGAGACGAGTCAGTTCTCTCTTTGCAAGGTTCTCCATCATATCATATTCAACTTTATGGTTCTGTTCTAGTTGTCATCAACTATACTATTTACAAGAATATGACAGTGCTTACTAGCTCCTTTGCTTTTGCTTCAGACTTGAAAAGGACATCCGCTTCAATTATTTCTGGACAAGGTGCACAAAACTCATTGCTGTAAGCCACTAAATCCCCTATGTTTGCTTTCTTCCTTTGCAATTTCAAGTTACTTCCTAGAATTGAATTGCATCCTTCACCAAATTTCAGGTAACCTTGTTTGCAGTGCACTGTGCGGGATGCTTTAACTATCTAATTGCAGATAGGTACCCCGATTCCAAAAGAACATGGATTGGTGCAACGAACCCAAATTTTAAAGAAGACAGTTTATGGGACAGATATGTAACTGCAATATACTGGTCCATTGTCACGCTTACTACCACTGGCTATGGGGATTTACATGCTGAGAACACAAGAGAGATGCTATTTGATATCTCTTACATGCTGTTCAACTTGGGTTTAACTTCATACATCATTGGAAACATGACTAACCTTGTAGTCCACTGGACCAGCCGCACCAGAAATTTTGTATGTACTCTCAAACTTGTGCTTTTTTTTTTGCTACTGCTCAATTTGCCAATGCCACTCACCTTCTATGAGAGTTTTATATTCTACATGCGTTAGACTAAACTCTGATTTTCATTTAACAATACCCTTCAAAGTCACTCACTATCCAGGACAATCATCCAAAACTTAGTTTTAACTTTTAAATATTATGTAGGACCCACATTCTGACCTAGCATTATCTTCCTCATGGTTTCATGCTACGTTGCCCTTCAGTTTCATTATTAGCAATAGCTAATCATTTCGTTTCATTAAAAAAAAGACACTTATTCAGATAAGAGGAACTTTATTTCTTCCCTCTAATGAAGAGAGGATTACTTTTGGTGCCACAGAGAGATACTGTCAAAGCAGCTTCTGAATTTGCTTCAAGAAATCATTTGCCCCACCGCATAGAGGATCAATTGTTGTCACACATATGTTTGAGGTTTAAAACAGAAGGATTGAAGCAGCAAGAAATATTAAATGATCTGCCAAAGGCAATTCGTTCAAGCATTGCATGCCATCTTTTTTTTCCTGTCGTTCAGAAGGTCTACCTCTTCCAAGGAGTTTCCCATGACTTCCTTTTCCAACTGGTAATACCCCACATGCCATGTTTGTTTTTATTATCATAACACTACTTTCACCTTCTGTGTTCTTCTTTGCCAAAGGGTAAGAGGATGAAGAACTAATGTCACAATATCTAATATAACCATGTAAGTAATAATAGGTTTTAGAAATGGAAGCTGAGTATTTCCCACCCAAGGAAGATGTGATACTGCAAAACGAGTCTTCTACAGACCTTTATGTGCTGGTTGCAGGGGCAGTGGTGAGTTAGCTAAAGCATGAATTGTTTAGTAACCATAAATGAATCTTAAAGAATGTCTACTAATAACCATGAATGGATTAATTGTTGCAGGGTTTCGTTCGCTACATTGATGGGCTTGATCAAGTATGTCATAATATTCAATCATATATTTTTTTTTCTCCTTCAAATTCCACAATGAAACAACTGAATATAACTTCCTGTCTCAACATTAACAATTCAGGTAATCGGGAAAGCAATTGCAGTAGAAACATTTGGAGAGATTGGAGTTTTGTATCATGTGCCACAGCCTTTCACAGTTCGGACCACAGAGCTTTCTCAGATTTTAAGACTCAACAGAACAGCCTTAATGAATGTTTTACAAGCAAATCCAGGAGATGCACAAATTGTAATGGATAACCTTTTAATGGTAATCAGGATATTGAAGGACCCTAAACTCAAAACATGAGGAATATATTTTACAAATTTCATTTATGGCATATATCCCCCCTCCTCAATAATAATAGGTTCCTAATCACTTGTTATCCTTATTGACAGAGATTAAAGGGGCATGAAGAGATGGGCTTTGAATATCCACGTGTAGATCCTGGATTGGGTCTTCATGAACTGCATCACGAAGGCAACACAAGAGGAAGCTCTTCTCATGAGTGTACAAGTAATTCACACGGGCATTCATTAAAGCAGGAAGAGAAGTACATAAATATCAGAGACTCAGAGACCAGTTTGCATAAGGTGACTAATGATGATCAGTTAGTTATTAAACATAACATGATCCCTGAGGATGGCAAAAGAGATCTTCATGCCGCTTCAAAGAAAAAGAATCTAGACATGGTTGAAATTCTGCTTGAAAGAGACGCAAATACCAAGAACCAAAATGCCATAGGGGGGACACAAAAAGCTCTAGTAGAACAGCTAAAAAACAAGAGCGTTTCTGACCAAATAATGAGTTCTGAAAGCGAGAAGAAATCAGATGAATATAGAATAAAGATTGCTGAGCCAGATATCCTTAACCTTGACAGGAATGGCACAACAAGAAACAGAAGAGAAGATGGTATTAGATCCATCAACTTGCCATTAGAGAAAGTATACACAAACTCCAATTCAAGAAATTCTAACTTTTCAAGTGATAGAGAAGCGGCAAGATTCATCAAGAAGAGAATAACAATCCACTTGCTATGCGGATCCAGAAGTGCCTTACAGGGAGAGCCTGGAAAACTGATAATTTTACCTGATTCATTAAAAGAGCTGCTCAAGATTGCTGGTAAGCTTTAACCTCAAAGAATAATTGATTATGATTTATGAACCTATAACTCAGAAAAAATAGTTTGATATACACACAAACACAGGTGGGGAGAGAGAGAAAGGGAAGAGTATCAGTATTTTTCTTTTTATATTTTTTGACTTGGGAAGGGAGGGGGATGCTACCAAAATCAAATGCAATATTCTGAACACAGAACAGTAGAACTTCGTACTGCTCTATATCCTTCTAACTATTAACTTGCAAAACTGCAGGTGAAAAATTTGGCGGCTTCAACCCGAAAAAAGTTATTAATACAGAGAATGCAGAGATAGATGACATAAATGTCATCAGAGATGGTGATCATCTCTTTCTTCTTTGCAGCGATAGTGAAAAATTGAGTTCATGATGATACCGATGTAGATATGAAGATAGATAGAACCTTTAGGAAGGTAATGGTAAAATTGGTAATGATATAATCAATTACAAAAAATGCTAAGCATCCGGCAAGATATTCCAAAACCATACAATTCTATTACAAAAGCTGCTCTTTGTTTATGATTGTTGAAACAAAATTTTACATTCTCATGAAGATAGGACGCTGGTTATGAGTCCAAGACAATAAGTCATATGATCAAGTGACGGACTCTGTAATGTTTTGTTGATGTATTGCATTCAAAAAGTATTGACAGTTTCTATTATCCCTGAGAACCCCCTGCTAATCAATTCCTTCACAACCAGAAGTGCCCTTGCTCAGTAAGAGATATAAGAGTAACTTCAAAGAAGCATCTCACTTTGTGCCACCACAATCTGGATTTCTAAAAACAGTCTATTGAATGCCTTTGATGAATAAATCTCATTTCTTCAAATTGATTGGTATAAGATGTGCTTCTGTGTTAAAAATATATTTATCCAATGGAATAACAGAGCTGTCCCCAAAAAGCAAGTATAAATACTTCAGTGTTTCCCCTAGAAAGAAAGTCTCCATTTTGTCTCTTCTATGAGGAGGAATGCTAGTTACATCGTCCAGAGAACAATATCCACCAGTATCAACCTTAGTGTACTTTTCAAAAGCTTCAAATATTTGCCAACCCCATTCACGGTATCTGTAAGCCAAGACATATATATCTGATTATTTCAGAAAAATCAGCAAAAGAAAAATTAAGCCTGTCTTCACTGTGTTTTGTGAATGATCACAAAAAACAAAAAATATAAATTAATCGTATAAGAGGGGGAAGATCATACTTTGGATCTTCTGTAATACGGTACAAAACAAACAACGACTCCACAGTCTCAGGTCTCAAAAGATTATGACGGTCAGCAGGTTTTATTATGATGTCATTAACATATTCTGAGCTCTTATTTCCTCCATCAAGACCTTGTTCAGAAAATCCCTGGGTATAAAGGCATACAACCAAATGCTCGATGTCAAGTCTAGCCCTACTCTCGCTATATAAAAATGAAACAAAATGGAAAAAAATACTTTCCATATGTAGCATCTAGAGTAGAAGGTATAAGTAGATAATGAGGTGCTTATCTGCCAAAAAAATCCTACTAACCTCAGTATGAAAGTAAGCAATTTCAGGAGCCAGACCAGTTGAAGTAACTGAGTACATCTCAAAGCATGTTTTAGCCAGATCTTCTGCAAGCTTCAAATTTTCCAGGTCTTCAAAGTTAAGCATATTGTTTTCCATTGCTTGTTTCTTTGTAAGGCCTTTAGTGGCACCAAGTGCAAGTGTACCAGGTAAGAAACACACCTAAATGGGCAACATCAAATTTTACATCAATGTTAGTAGGTCAATGTCAACATTAACCAGGTACCTCTCAATTATGATCAAAGTGTATAACTGAATTTTTGAGAGATAAAAATGAGACGGAAAAAAAGGCAAATGACAGACATTTATAATCAGTTAAAATGCAGGAGGGAAGATCCTTTTCTATTAAACTAAACTACTATTTGACGTTCTGTAATCATAGTGTCAAATTCACATCTGAAGTTAATCTATCAAATTCAAAAGCTTCACCGAAAGTTTGGCACAAAGACCTTTTTAAGAGCATTTAAGTCATTATAGAATCACGACTCAGAAGTAATACTGCTAATGCAAATGTAAATATCCTGGACCAATCATGGTATCGCACAATTCAGTAAATGATGGAAGTGACTATTTATTTTCCCACCTTTCTTTTGTGACATCTGCCACAGAATATATGCTCAATTTTTATTCAAATGTCATTGTTGAACCACAGAATATACGCTCAATTTTTATTCAAATGTCATTGTTGAATACAATTATGACATCCTCATGTAACAAAATGTAATATGATTATATGTTCAAGTTGTAAAAAAACCAAAATGCTTTCCCATAACATATAATTAAGTATACGAGGAAAATGCAATTCCTGATGCATGGAACAAATCATAAAGACATTTTATGCTTTTCATGGAATGAATTTCAAACCATGGACATAGCAGAGCATGGCTTAGCATTAAGCAGGCATATATTATACTATAGTACATAAGACAAAGGTGACAGTGCAGCCCGGAAGGGGCATCTGTTCGATTTCATATAATTCCTTACAGCACCATTGGGTGGGAATATCATAATTTCAGAGGCAAAAAAAAAAATTAATTTGATACTTCATGTACACCAAAAACAAATCAATAACTTCAAATAACAAACCAATCCACAGTTCAGGACTGTCAGACAAATATATATGGCACAATAATTTGCACTATTTCTACTGAATGATATTTTCATGCAACTAAAGCACCAAGTAAATTTCATGAAATGCCAAACTTCAAAATTAGGAAGTACAGTGTACCAGGTGATCCATTTTCGGGCTGAAACCACCGTTTGATCCAGAAGGCAATTCTCCAACAAAAACTAATCCATTTGGAATTGATTTCCGAACAAGAAGATGCCTAACACCGCTCATTGCTTCCTTATACATTTCATATAGATATGATGTATTACTATTGCTACTAGCTCCACTCTGAAGCCATACTTTAATTAAGTACTCATAGTAACTGTCACCACGAGATCCCAGTCTAATATTTTCTCCACTAAATTGACCGGAATGAGGGCTGTGTTTAGTTAACAGAAATATCTGAATGTTAGTAGAAATATAATGATAAAATAAAGAAGAGACAAGCCTGAAAGGGACTAAACAATTGGGGTAATGAAAGAAGCAGCTGAACACAAACAAATTGAAAGATTTATCAAAGTAAAAATTAAATGTAAAAATACACTAATTAAATTATATGGAATTCCATACCTAATGTAGATAGGAACCAGTCCTTCAATCTTTGGAAGAGTCTTTATGTGTTCCATGACTTTCATTGCCTCCAAACCATATTTCTGATCACCAGATACAGAACTGAGATAATTGAATTCAAGCTGTAACGTGGAAACTTCTGACGTGCTACTCAGCCCACCAGGAGCTGGATGTGCTGACAAGTCATGCAGAATAACATCACTAAATGGAATAGCTGTTGGACTGGCTGTAAAAGCAGATAGCAGACGGTCAGCCAAATTCTTGGCAGTTTCTAGATAAACAGCTGGTTTAGGTCCTGCATGAGTTAAGTTCATTCCTTTTTCCCCACCACTTAGATGGTATGCACTTAAAAGCCCACCCACAACCCGTATAGTGGTTTCAAATAAATTTACTTGGCCCTTCTTGCTAATTCTCTCAGAAAGGTGTTCTTCAACCCATGATCCTGCTTCAGAAACAACTTCATCAATACCCATTATCATGGCTGTATCAAGAGCATCCACTATTGTAGCACCTAATCCTCCTAATCCATCAGTTCCAAGGTGGCTGAGCGGCATAAGTTCATCATAACCCATGGCATATTTTTTGTAGCCAGACCATGCATGAATAAAAGCTTCCTTGACTTTCTGCTGCCTAGTAATCCACATTGATCTGGCATCTATATTTCCAGGTACATGGCCAATACCATTATTATTCACTTTAGCATCAGGTGGTAATCGAGGAGGAAGCCTTGGAGGCCGTCTCCATAACCTTTTTAATCTGCCAGCACCATTAGTAATGTTGCTATCTTCACTGTTTTTATTCCCAATTGCTTGATCATTAGAAACTACACGACCAGGACTTGTATGTGTCAGCATAAGATATGCTACACCAAAGACCAGTAGCAGGAGTAGAAACTTTCCTGTACTACAGCTAATACAATCACGCTTTAGGTTACTGGTTAGGAAGCTCTGAGTAATAACCTGGAAAATCAAGACATAGTAAACATTTGTTTCTTTTTTTACTTTTTAGTGAAATACAGAAAATATTTGATATCAGAAGGCTAATACTCAGAATAAATGATACTTTAAACTCATACAAGATGTCAGGAAAATATAAAGATCAAGGAGGGAGTGACAACAAATTATAGGTTTTAGTTATGCATACATCGGAGTAAGTTTAAACTAGAATTTTACACGTAACAGAACCATTTTTGTACTACAGATACAAGTATGATGTTCATTGTAAACCTGACAGTGATATTATGTCCATTAGAAAAGCTATGCAGTTCGGAAGCAATTCCCATAGATAAAAAATTGTAAGGAATATCGAGAGAAACTAATGCCAAGATCATAGAGAAGGATATGTAGCATCAAGTCCAGAAGATTAGAAGAATACATGCACATAAGCAACCCAGTTTTAACAAGTATTTCTGAATGCTCTAAATATAGCAACTTATTTAGCAGGAAAATATGCATGGTGAGGAAATCTGAACATTGCCCAAAACAAACAGATGAATCTATGGACCACATGTTGATCTTATCTTAACACCAAAAATTTCTCATAGATCAGCAAAAGCAAATTCATCTCTAGAAAGTCATAGCAGAATGTGGCTTAATCAGAACAAGGTGAGCAAGATACCATAAGATGCTTCAATATCAGTAATACCAAACTAATAAATCCTTTCACTCTCTTAGAAAAACAGGTAAAAAGAACTAGTGTTGTAACAAGGCCAACAAGTTTAACTCACTGTCCATTAATCAAACATCTGGAAGACATAATCTGCAGATCATATTGCAAACCAAACAAAAACAACCAATCTAGAAATATTCAGCATTTGCAAAATGGGTTTCTAACCAAACTCCACCGTGAATCGTAAATCACAGTTTTCTGCTTACCCAGTAAGAGGATTACACAAATCCAAACTCTATAGATGTAACGAACGATGAATTAAATAGTGGGTTGACTTGGAGCAAATCGGAGAAGCTAAGAAGGGTGTGACCGTACCTTGAAGAAAGAACGGTGACGAAACTTAGCGTTATCGTAGTGAACATCTTTGGTGGAGTAGGGTAGAGACTTGGACATGCTGGATCCAAATTCGAATTGAGATACAACAACTTAGGTGGGAATTCGATTGCGCAGGAGCAGGAGGATGCTATGCCTATGTAGCGTCATGGGATGCAATTCAACAATCAGTGTCTGAGAGAGAGACACGGAGAGAAAAAAAAAAGAAAATATTAAAACAGAATTTTAAAAAATAATAATAATTGAGGAAGGATATTGTAACAAGGTGGGATTAGTACCAATCAATCTTACCGTTATTATATTGATCAACGGTTATATTTATTTTCATCTTTGCATAGTTATGATTCCCCGATTTAAAGTGAAAGCATTAAATATGCAAAATCATAACCATACAAAGGTGAAAATAAATATAAAATATTAAATTTAGAAAATCATGACCATACAAAGATAGAAATAAATATAACCGTTGAATCAACATAATTGATCTAATGGTGAGATTGATTGATACCAATATTGGTAGTAACATAACTTAGTTGTTACAATATCTTTCTCCAAAATAATTAAGAAAGAAAATATTATCATTTTATTGTCGTCTAAACAGATAAATTCATCCATAACTAAAATTAAATAATATTTGTTATTGTGTCATATAATTATTTAATATTTAAAATAATAATAACATGCTAATTGTTGATTTTACTTTATATATATATATATATTATTTTATTTTATTTATTTTTATATATAATAAATAAATAAATAAAACAATATATATATATATATATATATATATATATATATATATATATATAGGGATTTGATTTTCTCATGTTAAATGAGAATTCAGTTGGTAACTTGGCGCTGAGTTAGTGAGGTTGGATATGTGTTCGATTCCCGCTGAATGCATTCTTGGGGAGGGGGCTGAACCTTTAGCCATCACTGTTCCCCCGCACTCCGGATTAGTCTCGTAGCCGGCTCAAAGAGTCGAAGTTCATGGGGATATCGGAGGGAGCCAACTCATCTCAAAGAGATAATTAGGGTTGGGTAACTCAAAAAAAAAAAAAAAATTCAATTCTCATGTTGTAGAGATAAAAAACATATGGGACCCAGGTGTTAGAAAAAATTATATGTAGGACTCATGTCAGTACGGAAATAGAAGGGTGTGTAGGAAAATTTGAATTCCCATATTAAATGAGAATTATAAAACCCATATATATAATATACTTAAATTTTATTTTAAATATGTTACTGACGTTGATGATAAACTCTACGTTAAGAGGCTATGGTGGCATACATGTGAGAACATGTGACTTGTTGCGACGTTGACAAAATGGCCATTTCTAACAGGAACAGTGATCAAAATGTCACTGTTCATCAACTTTTTTATCTAAATGCTATGCAAACAATGTTATTTTTCAATCTGTCACGGGGGCAAGTTCGCTACCCGGTGTAGCAAACTCGGCTTGCTGACATGTCACGTTTCTAGTGGACACTAACTTAATTTTAACCAAGTTCGCCTACATGGTAGGCGACCTTCATTTTTTTTATTATTATTTTTTAAAATTTTGATACTTGTTATCCATTAAAAATGTGATACGTCAGCAAACCGAGTTCGCTACACAGGGTAGCGAACTTGCCCCCGTGACATATTAAAAAATAACATTATTCACGTGACATTTAAGTAAAAAAGTTGGTGAACAGTAACATTTTGGTCCGTGTTCCATTTCCAATATCAGTAGTTATTCTTCTCGCACCTGCATAATTAAAGTTCACTAACTTTAAGGATTTGAGGAATGAAAATCAACAAGGAATTGAGGAATGGAAACCACGATTGACGTTTACATAAACCAATTAGAGGGATAGTGCGTGTATGAAAGGAATAATAAGAAGATAGAAAACAAAAGATGCAGATTGCAGAGTCATCTGCACTACCTTTTTTTTTTAATCCTATCTTTAAATATTCTCAAAATCAAAACCGATACTTTTTTTTTAATCCTATTTTTCATGTTCAAATATATACTTTATCAGCAAAATAAAATTAGAAGCAGTTTTATAAACAGCGACTTTATAAAAGTTTCAGAAAGTTTTATTTAAGTAAAATATTTGTTATATCACTAAATAAAATATCTTAATATTCTTGCCTCTTATAAGATTGAAAAAAACCCACAAATTAAGGGTCCTTCCATAAACAACATAAAAATGGGGGTCCTTAGCTTGTCATGTTTTACTTTAACGAAAATAAATTTGTCTTGCTTTTCGCTTGATATATGTAAGCATAATTTAAAAAATATATCCAATAGAATATGTTAATTAATGGATGTTTCACACTTCAACTTTACCTCTCATTAAATCTATAAGTCCAAGGGAAATATTGTTAACAGATAGATTTTCATAATAATATTTTGGGTAATACTTTTTTTAATGTTGCATAAGAGAAGTATTATCTCCTACTCAAATAATAAATAGGAGAGAAAAAAAAATTCTTGTGAAACCCATTTAAAAAATGTGAGTATAGGAGATAATATTTCTCTTATGCAACATAAGAAAAGTATTACCTTAATATTTTTTCTTCATGCATTTTAACTAGCCCACTGAATTTTTATTTGATTCAACTTACCTGATTTGACCGAATTTTACTCGAATTATTGACTTTAATCAAAAAAGTCAAATTTTTAATTCAAACCATGGTAACTATACTCTCAGTCTCTCATAATCATATTATTAATGAACCATTAGAGAAATTAAAAAGTAATATATACTAAAAGAAGAAAAAAAATTATAGTTCATATTCCCATATTGATAATAAAGCTTTAGCTTTTGTAACTTAAATCCGAATTACTTCAACATTTCAAGATTGAAGCATCCACGATGAAGAGTGACTATTTTGTCACACCTGACAAAAAAATTTATCAAACTGTCAACAGTAAATTTTGCCAAAATATAACGCGGCATATTTCGTTATACTGTGTAGCGAAATATGTTTGCAAGTAATTCGCTACACAGTGTAGCGAAATATGCCACGTCAGGATGCACAGTCAGCAAAAATGACACGTGTCAAGCATGCAGAAATTCGCTACACTGTGTAGCGAATTATGCTTGGATTCTGCCTGCTTGACACGTGTCATTTTTGTTGACTGTGCATCTTGACGTGACATATTTCGCTACACTGTGTAGCGAATTATTTACAAACATATTTCGCTACACAGTGTACCGAAATATGTCGCGTGACATTTTGACAAAATTTATTGTTAGCGCGACAGTTTGATAAATTTTTTTTGCCAGCATGGCAAAATGGTGCCCGTTGCCACAATATGACCCCTTCTTTTTAACAATCTTAAACTACACATATAGGGAGTTTTATGTATCAATCTCCACTTTATTCTCAGCTTTCTTTCTTTATCTCAAAAGCCACAACAACCCATTGGAATTCCCGTTGATCCTCAATCTTAGCACTCTCACATCCATTTAATTTCTTCCTTTACCTCTCTATACAAATGCACCCCAAAACTCATTACTAGACTCTCCGTTCTCATGGGTATTCTCAGTCAAGGCTTCAAGTGCATGTGCACAACTCTGTTCTTTCTCTTCCTCCTCTCATACACTGTTTCTTCACATTCCTCCAACCAAGAAATCCAACCTTCTTCAACAACCCCTTCCCACTACCACCAATTGTTCTACCTCAAGAACACCAACCCCATGTTTTCGAGTAGATCACAAGAGCGCTTCAAGAAGAGGAGAATAAAGAGAAACAAGAACATGAAGCACAAGAAGAAGAAGGTCAAGAACCTTGAGTTACGACCTTTCTCTGTTATGCTCCCAAAGGGTTTTGTCCCTCCTTCAGGTTCCTCACCTTGCCACAATGATCAACCCAACTCTGTGTCCTTCGAATGCCATCTCACTTCTGCAGAACCTTGACCAAAAAATACCACATTGTATGGTCTTCACGTCTTCACTATATTTATATAGATATATTATAGCTTACACGCAAGCAATTTACAGAGAATAGAAAGATGAGGAAAGTGCTACAATTGATCATTGCTTTTGATCCTTCTTGCATTGCATTGCTTTTCCATGACGTTCCTTATTTTTTTCTTTTCTTTTCTTTACTTTATGTTGATGTTGTAATAGAAGGAAATAAGAGTTAAGAGATTAACAAATATATTGTAATAAATCAGTGAAGCTTTTTGATTCATGTATTCTTTAAGTATTCTTGGTCAGAATGTAAAAGTAATTTGATCATTGCAGTGTATTTCCATTTCTTGTTTATGGTCCCTTTTTTTCTTTTTTCTTTTTTTTTTTCGTATTAGATTTGTGCAATTGAAATACATAAGTTGCAAGGGCGTACGTGCACATCAGTTACAGGCAGAGATGTCTGTTATAGTGTTATTGAAGAAGCATATATGTTTCTTTCTTTCAATGAATATCATAGAATAGTTGTTGCTCGATAGGTGCACAAGAGCCGGAGAATGAGAGAGAGGCATGTGAATTTGCATCGTTGGGGAAAGCAAAAATACGATGTTGAAGTTTCGTGGCGTTTACTTTGTTCGTGCATGCAATGCAACTGTAGGGAATGGAGATGGCTCTCTAGACGATGCGCCACACAAGTAGGATCCATGTTACAATATATATATATATATATATATAGGAGATAAAGAATTACTTGCCCACAACTACAACTATAACTACTAACCTTTTTTCATTTCTTGTATTATTAATTTGAGCTGTAGCCAAGCTCAATGCAGCTTAATGCTCATACAAGACAAGACAAAATAATAGGGTACTGGGGTCCTAATCTATTTATGGAGCCACCGGACTTTTTTGTTTCCTTTTGTATGATTCGAAGTATTATCGTTTGCATCAATTTATCTTATTTAAAATAAATTACAATCAAAATATTTAAGAAATATATTTTAATCGGTTTTTTTAAACAACACATAATCTCGAATTGCATAGCTTTATTTATTTTATATCCGTGCACCGGTGCACGTGATGAACTTTTACTGTTTGGCTATAGTAATTAGTAACTTGATCGCAAGGATTAAATTTGTTTTTCTAACAATGACGCAGGAATTTTTATGATGGGATGAAAATAAAATATCAATGTATCAAAAACAAAAATATATATCAAAGTTACAAGTATTAATATTGTAACACTTATAACAATCAATTTTTTTTATGTTTAATCATATTAGTCGTTCAAACAGAATTGAACTATTGAAGTAGTTGCGCAACTGGGTGGGTTAGTTCTTAGGATTAAAGTACTTACAAATTTAAGTCTTTTAGGATTAACACGAGAGAACTATTCTTTTACTATATAAGAGAAGTAATCCTCTATTTTTAATTGTATAAATAGATATTGTAACACTCATTGACACAAGATAATAATAGGGAAATGTGAGTGTCATGTTACATGATTAGAGGTGTAAATGGGTAAGCCGGCCAATAGAGATTTATGGACTAGTCTATATATAAGTTAGGCTTGACCTATTACAAATAGACTTAGACTTTTAAAAAAATCTATTTAAAAAACAGTCTATAGCCTTTTTTATATATGTCGGGTTAATAAGCTTATTTGCCGACCTATATCATATTATTTATTTTAAATAAGATAAATAAAATTATTATTTTATTAATTTTGAATAATAAAGTAATATAACTTTAGTTATTTTTTTAATTATTGAATGTTTAATAAGCTTAAACAAGCTAACAAGTTTAGCCAAAATTTTTATTTTTTAAATATAGGTCAGCCCAAATTTGTAATTTGAGCCTAAAGCTAATAGGTCATGCCAAATCAAGATTTTTTACAAATACATAACCTATTTAAATCAAAAACTAGCCTATTTATACTCTTATTAACACGAGATGCCATAAACACAAAAGGGTGGAACTGACACTTATATTGGTGCCTATAGATGTAATATGATACTCACATTTTCCATAATAATAATACATCTATTTTTCAATAATTTATATCCTTACAACCGGATGGTTTACCAATTCCCTTTCATCTTTCAATTCTTTGCATCCATACAAGTCATTATTTTATTCTTTATTTGGCATTTACTTCAAACTTGTGATTATTACACTTGTATTCAAGGAAGCACGAACACTTGTAAAAACAGAAAGAGTCGTGTCCGACACGCTCGGACATGGCGACACGCTCCGACACGGTGTCGGACACGCGGTTAACATTTTCCGACAGGTTAACCATTTCGACACGCGAATTTGACCATGTCCGACACGGTCAAATGGCATTTTCGTAATTTTTTTTTAAATTTTTTTTTAAAAAATTAAAATATATTAATAAAGCTTCGACCTGATTATATCAATTTTATTTTTTTGTCTTTTTTTTCCTTAAGTAGATAAGAGATCATCTCAGCATCATTGTTGTCAATTCCTATCACGCTCTTGTTGTATCTCCTTGTCTCTGATCTTTTTCTCTAATATAATTTGATCTCTCTATCTGATATTATATATCTCTCATCCCAGTTCTTATTTTTTTTATTAAAGCTTCCATCTTTATAACGTGTTGATAGGTATTATTAATTTAGTTTCATTTTTTTGTTAAATTATTAAATATTAAATGAAATATACACTATATAAATTAAAAATATTATTTAATATTAAAACGTGTCCCAACGTGTCAAAATCCATAATTTTTTAAGATTGACATGTCAGAGTGTCGTGTCGTGTCGCGTGTTGTATCGGTGCTACATAGCTTGTATTTGTATCCATTTGAATTTTTATCTCATGTCACCACTTTAATGAATAGATAACTTGACAAATACACAATAAACCTGAGTGTTTTCTTTACTTACGGAATTACAATTAAGAAATAAAACACCTTCCTTAACATAATCACCTTAGCGTTAGAATCGCTCTATAAGTTTGGTGAGGAGCTAATTAGGTCGCAATCAATTATGTTTTTCGACCAATCAACCTGTTTTAAACATGTATTTAACGGAAATGAATAGCAACAATTCAACGTACTCGTTGTCAAATGCAATAATATTTCTCCACTACACAGATGTGAAAAATGTCATTGAGGAAATTGGTCGAACACCTTAAGTCCCGCCATCGAGTGCACAACACGCTCTCTTCATTTCACTCATTCTTCTCTTCAATTTCCACCACTTCCCTGCAAACTGCGAAACCCAACAACAAACAAGAGGAACAAGATCCTCACTCTCTGCTGAGACAAGACCCAATAGAGATATGCACCTCACTGTGGGTCAAAACCTTCTCTTCCCCAAAACACACTTCATTCCCCAACCTCACTGGTTTTCTCTCCAACTTCGATCTCTGGGTCTTCGCCTACCAGCGCTCTTGCGCCCACGCCACTGGCACCTTCCCTCCACGCAACGCCATTCACTCCAACCATCTACGTGACCTTCTCTCTCTTCGTAACGCCGTTATTCGCGGCCGTTTCGCCTGGAACGACAACACCCGCCAATTCATTCGCGCCCCGAACGACAAGAAAACCCTATCGAAACGCAAACTCGAATCCGGCGAGCCATGTTTTCAAGACAGGGTCATTCAGGAGGTTCTGTTGATGATTCTGGAGCCGGTTTTCGAACCCCGGTTTTCCCCCAAATCGCACGCGTTCCGACCCGGTCGAAGCGCACACACGGTTATTCGAACCATCAGGAGTAACTTCGCTGGTTACTTGTGGTTTTTGAAGGGGGATTTGAGTGAGATTTTCGACAGCGTGGATAGAAATGTTGTGATGGGTTGTGTTGAGAAGGGTACGAGGGATAAGAAAGTTCTGGGCTTGATCAAATCTGCACTGGTGGGGCGTGTGTCGCGCAATGAAGACTGTGATGTTGAGAAGTTGAAGAAGGATAAGAAGAGGAAAGCTACGAAGAAGAGGCTTCTCAATGAGAATGAACCGAAACCTGATCCGTATTGGTTGAGAACATTCTTCAGTTTCGCTCCAGAGGAGGCTGCTAAGGTACCATCTTATGGCCATTGTGGGATTTTAAGTCCATTGCTTGCTAATGTTTGCCTTAACGAATTGGATCATGTGATGGAGGAAATGATTGTTGAGTATTTCAGGCCTTGTAAGTTTGATTCCATATGGAAGTACTCAATTGATGATGGCTCTCATAATCCTGCATGGCCAGAGTTTGTTCCATCTAGTGGGAAGGAAAAAACTAGGAAGATGGATTACTTAAGATATGGGGGTCATTTCCTGATTGGGATCCGGGGGCCAAGGGAGGATGCAGTGGAAATAAGGAAGAAAATTGTTAATTTTTGTGAGAGTAAGTTTGGGTTAAGGTTGGATAATTCCAAGTTGGAGATTGAACATATTACAAGGGGAATCCAATTCTTGGACCATATAATATGCCGAAGGGTGATACACCCAACCTTGCGTTACACGGGTTCTGGAGGTAACATTGTGAGTGAAAAGGGTGTGGGAACTTTGCTTTCAGTTACTGCTAGCTTACAACAATGCATTCGCCAGTTTAGGCGGCTTGAGCTTGTGAAGGGTGATAAGGACCCCGAGCCACTTCCCTGTAATCCTATGTTGTATTCAGGTCAAGCTCATACCAACTCCCAAATGAATAAATTCCTTGAGACCATGGCTGATTGGTATAGATATGCTGATAATCGCAAAAAAGTTGTTGGCTTTTGTGCATATGTCATTCGTAGCTCTTTGGCTAAATTGTATGCTGCTAGGTATAGGCTAAAGTCCCGTGCCAAAGTGTATGGAATAGCTTCACGAAATCTCAGTCGTCCTCTGAGAGAGAGCAGTAACAATTCGGCACCTGAATATTCAGATCTTTTGAGGATGGGGCTCGTTGATGCAATTGAAGGTGTTCAGTTTTCGCATATGTCTTTAATTCCATCTTGTGATTATACTCCATTCCCAAGAAATTGGATCCCAGATCATGAGAGGGTGTTGCATGAGTATATAAAACTTGAAAATCCCAAATTTTTTATTGACTTGCTAAGATCCATTAAGCAGAAAGGTTTAAGTCTTTCTCAAGATGAAATATCTCAAATGGTATGGGACTACAAAACTCTTGGGGTTCGAAATTTTCGATCTGATGAAGATAAAGAAGTGAAAACTGATTTAAAGGAGATAACTGGGTAAGTTTGGCAATGACCTAAAATTAGTGGAGTCTTCTATTATCAAGGTTCTGCTTCAAAGTTGGCAATCTCAGAGAAAAATTGTAATATGCTTTGTTCATCCATTTTCTATCTTGGATGTAAAAGTCCATTAAATATTATTCTCACAAGAAATGCTATTCCATGCTGACATTGTCTCTATAAAAGGTAGAATGTGTCCATTGGAAGGGTGCAGCTCGGATGGGGGTGTTGTAATTAACTACTGACAATATAGATGACGGCAACAGGTACAAACAGAATTTTCTAGGATGTTTAACTGCTTGTAACCGGTGACTTTTACATTAGAATTTATATGGACTGAAGTTAGGAGTTTCCTTGAGGCATTATATCTTGTGTGAAATTGTGAATTCTAGAGGATATTGTTCAATATATCAATAAAAAGTTGTTTGCTGGTTATGTCACCGCAGAAGCACTACTAACATGCTAGTATCTGATTGGATCTGTGTTGAAGGTTTACCTACAGATTTAAATTACTTAAAAAGGAAAATTGATGAAATATTCAAGAGGAATTTTTTGCACGGGAGGTATTAGGAGGTCGAGGGTCTCCTTTGGAATAAAGAGAGGTAATTTCATCTACTTGTACTTTTTAATTGCTGCAGGCTGGAATATTTGTTGGATCTGTGGTTGATAAACTTTTCTAATTGCTGAAATTCATGTACGTTGGGATTCTCTCCTCTGCATCAAAATATAGTATTTGGTAGTATATTTTATCTAACTTCATAACAAATCGTCGCATTTGTGTAGTCATGATACTGCTTTTCTGTGTTTCTTTTATTTGGGTTTGTATAACAGTTGTAGACCAACAGTCATCTCGTTGTGCTTGTCTAGCACTGGAATGTGTGACAGTATCGCAGTTTAGTTTACCTACAAACTTGAGGGATACAAAAGTTTGTCGGGCATTAGTAAGACATAATTATCTCCTAAACGTATCCCAGAGTAAAAGGTAGGTCATAGGTGAGCATTTGGTGCCGGATTTTAGCTTTCTATTTTTGAAATTTATGTAGTGTCAATTATTTAGATTAATCAATTATTTAGTATATATGGTGATCTTCTTACGCTTAACGCATGCTGGTATTCTTGCGTCTGCTTATACTGTTTCCTGAGTGAGACTAATGCGATGAATTTCTTTAAAATTCACGCAAGTTATGAGGTAGTCTAAATAGTAAATACTTCATTAGAAGCTAGGCGAGTTGTAGAAATATCGATACTTTCTGCCAAAAAAAGGTTTTGATTTTAAGTTTACCTTGAATTGTATATTATGCAAATTAATGGTGGCAGCTTGATCTGACTTGGAGATTGCATGCAAAAATAGTCACATGGCCATGGCAATTAGCTGAGATTGTGATTGCTGCGATATATATACATATGCATACATATACATGTATGTAAGTATATATAATTCTCTATTGTTACTCGTTTCAACTAGAGGAATAGAAAAACCTTTTAAATTACTTGAGTTGCTTGGATGTGCTAGAAAGTCTTTAAGCTTACTTCATTATTCAAGATTGAAAACTAGAAGCCGGCTGGAGGTTGTTGCTCTACAATTTCTCCTCTGCATATCTATGCTTCAAAATAGACATTGAAAAAAAGCCATCAACGCATATCTAAGTTTATCAATTATCCTTCAAAATCAATAATCTTCCGGAATCACCTCCGGTAGCATTTGGTTTCCATATTAGGTAGTGATTGGTTCGGGAGAAATTTTTTTTTACTAGGGAAATGTAATTGATAGGAAAATGGTTAAAAAGTGAGTTTGGTAGGAAAATGTAAAAAAAGTTGTTTGGTTGACCGAAATATTACCAGAGAAATTTATTTAAATATGCAAAATCTATTTTCGAGAGAAACTTTGCACCTGTTTTTTCACTTTCTCAGTTATCTCAAAATACCACATCTCAAGTGGTATTCTGTAACAGTGAATTTCATCCAAAAATCAACACAAAAGTCATTTTCCTATCTATCCTATTTGTCTAGTATTTTTTGAAAAAATCTGAACCAAACGTGGTATTTTTCAATATCCACTTACACTTTCCCATCAATCTCAAAATAAATCTTCAACCAAACACTACAGCAAATGATAAATTGAAGGAAAACTGGTTACATATGAAATGAGAGAAATCCAATGATTGATCTGCAACTTTATTGAAGAAACTAGTTTTCAATGGATGATTTTAGTCATTCAGTTTCCTTGAGATCCAGCCACTCCCACTTGGAACCGTCCCAGCTGTGATAGAAACCGTCCTCTTTCACCAACCATTAAATGGTGTCATGGCCTTACGAAAATAAATTCATCGTAATTGGGAAAAGTTCAAAAGCCGCACATGTTTTCCCTTACAAGCAATTTATACCTATAGCTCGAGGCGTGAGCATTGTCGTGCAAGGGAGAAAGAATGTTTACCAACACGTGTTTGTTACAATAATGTGGGAATTAGATTGTGAGCGATCCAAAGAGAGATGTATCAGAATAATGTTGTAACTTGCGAGTCTGAAACTCATTTGTATTATTTTAAAAAATATAGAGTAAACACCCTTTTTAATCCCTGTCAATATCTACGAAGTCCTTTTTAGTCCCTGGCAATATAAAAGGACCAAATTAGTCCCTGAAATTACAAAAAAGGGCCATGTTAGTCCTTATGTCAACTCCCAAATATGTAGAGTGGCCCTTTTCTTGTACTTTCAGGGACCAATTTGGTCATTTTTTATTGCCAGGGACTGAAAAGGACTTCGTAGATATTGTCAGGGACTAAAAAGGATGTTTACTCAAAAATATATAAAGTTTATATTAGAAGAAACAGTGAAAAACTGCCATTGATAACAACATACAAACTTTTGTGAAAATTAGAAACAGAAGAGACATGTTTGAGCTTCATCTTAATGGTTAATGACAGCTTTTTACTGTTTTTTCCTCCAATTCAAGGATTTCATTCCTTCTATATATGGAGGGAAAAGATACTTGTTTTTATCAAAACATGTTGAAAATGAGGAAAAAATATATCTAATATTACTTTATATAAATTTGTCTAATGTTTACCGAAATTATGTAATTTTAGGGTTGAAAAATTAAAAAGTTAGAATAATGAATACTATTATAATCCTGAAATAAATTAAAATTACAAGCAATGTTAATAAAACTGGACCGATTTGGGAAGGTCGATCCGAAAATTAGTAAATCGGTCATATAACCGATCCGATTGAAGCAACAGACCAGCCATGCATCAGAACAGGTGCGACCTGGTCGGTTTTCATGAAAACCGATGATCCGGTCAGTTAACCGGTGACCCGACCTAGTCCTAAAAAAAAAATTCTAAATTTTTTTTTCAAAAAAATATATCATAATGGACATATTTGAATACTTTTTTTGATTATTGACTTACATAAGTTATGTACCTACAACCAATGTTGTTAAAATCAAGATCTTAAGTAAAATCGGAAGGGGATTAAAAAATCGTAAAACGTAAAATCGTAATGTAAAAAAATCATAAAAATGTGAAAGCGTTTGGAATATTAGTAAAATCGTTTTGATGAAAAAAAAATCATAGAAACGTAAAATCGTAGTGATAAATTGAGATTTTAACAACAATGCCTACAACACTAATATTATCTCAATTGTGCACTATGCAAATTTTTTTGATTTGATTCATAGTTAGAAATGTCGTTTAATAAACCTGAAGTCCCGTATCACGATCATTATATTTTTGTTTGATTCTTTATTGGATAATAATATGTGATTTATTATTTTTTATATTATAATATTTGAAATTTTTATTATTATTTTTAGATATTTGAGTATGTTTATAATTTTTTAATATAAATTATAGAATTGCATATAATTATCGGGCCATGCGGTTGAACCAGTGACCCACTGGTTGAACCAGTGACCCAGTACCTCGACCGGGTCAATGACCAGGCGTGACCAGGCCGATTTTAATAACACTGGTTACAAGTGCACCATGATTTTTACCCTTAAACGACATCGATAAGCAAAAAAAAAACACAAAATTATTTAAAGTAACTTTAGAAAAAATGAACTCTAAAAATTATTATACTTTTGTTTAGCCTAGTAAAAAAAACTTATTTCTTTTCAAATTTTATTTTTTTTCATAAAAATCGTAATGATGCCCAAAATCAATCTTTGATGTGCTAATGTATTTCTCTACGATTATCAATTTATTTGGATTTGATTATATTTAGTCAATTTGAAGTGAATATATCTGTAGAAAGTGGCTAGATCTAGATGATTGATTTTTCTGAAAGGAATATCACATACTTGATACTTAATAGATGAGAGAAGAAAGAAGATTATGAGAATTTAGGAATTAATTTAGAAATGCATCTATATCAATGATATAAATCTCGGAGCAACTCCTTCAAAGTATTAGGTCATTGGATAATTTTGTTCAACCGGTAAATCATTTTGTTATTAGAGGTTTTGGATTTTTGGTTTTCTGTTCAAACCGCCGCCTTTAATTCAATTTATAATCACCAACCGCAAGCATTTTTGGTTCGACAATAAATCAAATTGCGGTTTTTATCATACCCATGACTCCATTGAGCCATTTATCAACCCACAGTGAACAACAATTTGTGCCTTTTCTATTAGAAAATAATTTTTTTAAAAATAATTTTCTTCAATACTATTTTTCTCAATTGTAAAACAATGCTAACTAGTGGCGGAGCCAGTTTACTTATTGAGCTAGAGCCAACAAAAATTTAAGTGAAACTTAACACTAAATTTTATTTAGAAATTTAATCATGATTATTTAGACACATTAAAACTTTGGTTAATTTTTAAAAACAAACTGAGGCCAAGGCCCCACACACAACATAGTTACGTCACTGATGCTAACAGTAACATACTATCTGATGTGATGTTTAAGTTTTAGTGCTACGCTATATTGAATTATTAATGTTAAACTCAATCTCAGGCATTTGGTTTCCTTAGAACAATTCTTTAATTGGACGAAAATTGCTTATACATGAAACAAGATTAATGTTGATGATGGATCTATAATTTTATTGAAGGAACAAGCTTCCAGTTGGATCGATCCCAGCTATGGTAGAAACCATCATCTTTCAGGGGGTGTTTGGTTGGAGGATTTTGATGAAATAGATGGAGAAATTAGAAGTGGGATTGTAAGGCAACCACGTTTGGTTGAACCACTTTCAAACTTGCCTGGGTAAATTCGAATGATAGGTAAGCCATTTGCATATGTATCCAAATCGATTTAGCCGGCCAAATAATCCCACTTCAGATGTGGTATTACGTCTTTGCTATCCATTTGCTCACATTGTCTTTCTTGCAGATGACCAGCGTACCCTCTATTAAGCGCGCGAAACTGAAAAATGTCGTACCAAATTGCAGAGTTGTTAGTTGTCACTTTCGACCATAGACTTGCACAGACGAACACGGATTCATGAAGGTTGGCTACTTTGGGAGGTTTCTCGGTGGAACAAAGTTTATTTTCGTCTATGTTTTTGGGTTTTGTCCACACAAAGTTTATATTTTAATTATTAGTGACCATGAGAACGATGTCAGAGGAAGAAGCACCTTTGGATGCTAAAAATTCAAACTTGGGCAAAACCCTTTTGTTGGGGTCGCATGCAAGTAGCTCAGGTACCCTACCAATGATGTTGTGTATTTGGGAGATGGAGAAATCATGGTTTGTGAAGAAGGCGATGACTGAATCGGGCTTCAGGGATGTGTCGAAACGAACGCGCTTGTATGCTTTGAGAGCAGTTTCAAGTGACAAACCACAATTGTTTGTGAGGTAGGATATGGTGAATGATGGTTGTTGATCTGAAGTGGTCGAGAAGAGGTTGAGAAATATTGGTGATTCGTGGGGTTTCAGAAAAAGGTAACATTTTGGGGTTTGTGGCAATTCGGAGATAGCCTTGTGGCAAAACAAACTCACGGATTAACTAATAATTTTTAGCAAAGACGTAATTTTTGGTTTAGTTAAAATATAACATACAAGTTGGCTTCAGCTGGGAGGACGTTTATATAATATTTGTTTGGTTTAAAGATGAGTATGATATTGCTGGTGGTGAACTTTTTGATAGGATTATTGCCAAGGGTCATTACAGTGAAAGGGCTGCTGCATCAATATGCAGACAAATTGTCAATGTTGTTCATATCTGCCATTTCATGGGTGTGATGCATAGGGATCTGAAGCCAGAGAATTTCTTGTTATCTAGTAAGGATGAAAATGCACT